ATACACACACACACACATACACACACACACACATACACACACACACACACACACACACACACACACACACATACACACATGCAAGTTTATATTTCTCTCCTTATTGGCCTCATTGACTTCCATTAATTTCCAGCTGTTTCTATAGTCTTACCCATGGAGTTCCACCTTAATATGACCAGGCTGTGGTCCCCATAAGGACTACTAATCTTGACAAGGTGGATGTGTGTACCAAAACCACTGTAACAAATACACACTTAAGAAAAAATATATTATTATCCACTTTAAAAAGCGATAATGGACTGATTTAACAGGCCTCAGAGACAGGATATTTTGACAACTCTATGGAAAAAAAAACCCCCGTCAGACTGGAGTCCGATTTGTTGTCCTTGTACAAATGAAGACTTTTCATTCTTTCACATTTTTGCGCTGAAAGTTGTCTTTTTTCCTTCAGTCTTATTTCAGGTAACCCTTTATAAAAATGACAGCCCTTTTCTCAGCAGTGAATATTAGATTTTGACCCTGCATTGACTCTTTTATGTTTTGGCTGAGTACAGTTCTTGAAAGTTTCTGCTTTGCAGCTAAAGCTGTTGCTGCTCCAGGGTTCTTAAACTGATTTTGTTCATTCAGATAAAGATTGCAGGGAAGGAAAATATGTATACCATATATGATATGAAACACTGTGTAGCTGAACACACTGGAAGAGGTACAGTGTGTCACACTGAGGGCAGGGTGAACCAGAGCTGAACCCTCAGCCCCGTTCCCCTGACCGAGGTGAGGCTGTGGGAGCCTGGCCGGGAGTTTGGCACCTCTGGGTGGACGCCCACCCACATCAGCCTCAGAGACTGGGCTGCCTGCCACCTGTCTGGGCTTTCTCTGCTCGTCAGCCTCACTGCGACCTCCACCGTGCCCTCGGTGCGTGAGATGAAAGCAGTCACGGGTGGAAATTACATGATCCAATAATTTAAAAAATAAATAAATAATCAACAATATTTAARATGAGAATTGTACAGTTTTAACACATAAAAGAGAGGAATACCAGGAAAGGTTTATATTGTTTGTAAAACAAGTAATTATTTCAGTAATGTGAAAGATATATTAAAACATAAAGTTTAAAGACATTATGTTAATGTTGCTGTTTTGTCGTCATCGGTTTGTTGGGAGGTGAAATCATCAGCAACAAGGAAAACCTTGGACTAATTATTTCAGCCTGAACTGTTGGTACACACAGTTATGTAACGCAGTTTTAGGAGTATTATGAATGTATTTAATTTTTTATTTTTTTCTGTTAACCAATTATTTCTGTGGAAACATGTTAATGATGTGCTGTCTCTAGACAAACAATTGCTTTTGTTGCTTCTTCCAAATGAAGTTCAACAGTAAAGAAAGAGTGAAGCACTAAACAATGTAGCACTGTTACTGGGCAGAACCAAAACATTCTGCGTGTTTTTATCCACTGACAATCTTATTGCCTGCAAAGCAGCCTGACAGTAGATGTTTAATACTCAC